AGTTTAGCTCCACTCTGCCTGGAAGCTGCAGCATCATGGCAAGGAATATTGAGAAGAGTATTAGAGCAATGATGCAGCCTTCCTTTACTCCCATTTTAACTTCAAAGGGATCTGTGATAGATCCATTACTGAGAATCACCACTTGCATACAGTCCTACAGGCAGAGAATGGTGACAAAATTTGGTGGGCATCTATACTTCAGAAGGATCCACCACACCACTTCTTGCCTGACAAAGTTTTTGAGAGGCCAAAGGAGGCCATATAGAGAGACTTATGTTGTTCCTGGAATTTCTCGTGCTGGCAAGCTGTGAAGATCATGTCAGTTGTGCCTCTCTTGATGCCCTAAACCCACACTGAGATTCCAGGATGAGGTCTTCAGCAAGTGGAAGGAGACACTTCAAAAGAGTTCTTGCAATGATCTTTCTTGTGGTGGACAGCAAGGCAATCTCTCTGTAGTTTCCAGAGTTGGAGTTGTCTCCTTTCTTGAAGATTGTCACAATCATTGTGTCCCTGAGGTCATCTGGGATTTCCTCCTCATTCCATATCCTTAAGATGAGGGCATGAAGTTGTGAGGCAAACTCCTCTTCTCCCTGTTTTAAGGTTTCAGTGGGTATTCCAGATGCCTTGTTGTTGTTCTTCATCTGCTTGATGTCTTTCCTCATCTCCCTAAGGGCTGGAGGGATTGAGATCATCTCTGACTGTGAAATGGAGTTGAGAACACTCTCATCACCAGTGGAGTCTCAGTTGAAAAAGGTCTTCAAAATGCTCCTTCCAATGGGCATTGATGACTCTCTTTTCCTTGAGCAGGTATCCTCCTTCCTTAGGTCTCAAGGGGGTTGGTCCCTGAGTACTCAAACTGTAGATGGCTTTGGTGGCACTGAGGAAGCTGTGCGTATCATGGATGTCAGCCAGATATTGAATCTGCTTAGCTTTGTTTTCCTACCATTTGTTCTTTATATTGTGTGTCCACCTTTAGACCTTGGCTTGTTGGAGATGTTGTCATTTTGCCAAGCACAAAAGGCCTTGTGCTTGTGACTGGTCAACTCTTGAGTCTCCGGGTCATTCTCATCAAACCAGTCTTGATATTTTGTGCAAGCAAATCCAAGTGTCTCTTCACAGGCACTGATGATGGTGGCCTTGAGGGCACCCCACATGCTGCTGACATTCTTCCATTGTTGTTGATTGGAATTCGCTAGTTTGTTATTGTTTCCCTCCTGAAAAAGCCACAAAAGCCACATTCCCTCCTGAAAAGCCACATTCTTTGACAGTGCTGTGACATGGTGAGTACAGGTCACCACTGTAATAAGCCTGCCCAGCCCCCAGCTATGGGTTTACAAGTCCTCAGTGATGGAGCAGGTGGAAGATGTTAGACTCTGTGTGACTACAAAAGTGGATGAAGGCTGTAACAGAATGATATCCCCAATTGTCTTGGTTTCCTTGCCACTGGATCATGGTCCTGTTTTGTCAGGAGCCATGTGGAAGCTGATGTGCAGCAGCTTCTCCACCATAAAAGAAGTCACGCCCAGGTCTCTTTCATGCCAGCATGTTCCTCAAGGCCTCTGGCAGCCAGCTAATGGTGACAGGAGCAGGATTGTGAGATCTGGAAGCTCCTAGTCATGAATTGGTATGAAGGCAGAAGTTATAAGATGATCGTTTACCACTTGGGTGAAACAGGAACACAATTCAGCAGCTATAACTGTGACTGAGCAGAACTCCTCAGGATCTACATGGGAAGGGGGCTAGAAAAGGTGCCCTAAACCTAGCCTGTTTAATATAGTATTTTGTATTTTTTCCTGACTGGATAACAGTGTCCAATGGGATCACCTTTACTGGGTTTGAAAATACCAGTGAAGACGCATCATCATTTTCGGGATCTGGAACATCAGGACCCTTATGGACAACTCTAACAGTGAATACCCAGAGTGCTGCACTGTATTCGTGGCCAGAGAACTCGGGTGACATCAGTGTAGGTGTACTGAGTGAGACTCAGTGAGCAGGAGATGGGCGTCTCAAAGACGATGGAGGCAGCTATACCTTCTTATGGAACGGTAAACAGGAAGGAGAACACCAATTTTACGGACCTGGTTTTGCCATTAAGAATGAACTCATAAACCTACTCAATGAGCTCCCTGCTGGAATTGAGTGCCTCATGACTCTCCATCTTAAACTGGAAGGGAGCCAAAATGCACATATGCCCCGACTCTGGATGCTGCCAATGAAACCAAGGAGGAATTTTATGTCAACAAGTCCTTTCTGATGTTCTGCAGGGAGATGGATTTATTCTTCTTGGTGATTTCAATGCCAGAGTTGGAAGGGACTCTAACTTCTGGAATGGAACCATTGGCAAGGAAGGATAGGAAAGGCCAACTCCAATGGCATCCTCCTCTTGACCAAATGCGTGGAATGTGGACTCACTTTCACCAACACCCTGTTCCGCCAGAAAAACAGGCACAAGACATCATGGGAACACCCATGATCTAAGCATTGGAATCTGATTAACTATGTCATTATTCATGTCCTGGATCACAAAGATGTCCACATCACCCAGGCTACGCTAGGAGCTGATGATTGGTGGACTTGATCTGCTCTATGTCACTCAGACTAGCTCCCAAACAATGGCTGCAGGAGAAGCAATGCTGATGGAAGATCAATGTAGAAGGACCCAAGCAAGTGAGACCTCTTTGAGCAGTGCCTCAATGAAAAACTGGTGAGTCTTGAAATGTTATCTATGTATGAAACAAGAATGATGATTTCAAGACATCTGGCTTTTCCCTTTGTTGGTAGGGAGCACTCTGTTTGGGGAGTTGCAAACCTTCACGAGAAATAAAACTGCCAACTGACCACTGTTGCCTGTGGCGTCAGTTCCTTCACTCCTTCTGAATGAATGTGGTTGCTTTAATCTAGGGGTGTGACTAAATTCCAGTTTTGAAAGTTGCAGGCTTCCTTCTATTTTCAGCCTAGAGCATCAATTTAATAGTTGTCATTGCACATCCTAAATTGCATTTACTGTTACTGTGCCCTATGAAAGAACTGTTCTGTTCTTTCCCAAAGGCAGCTGCATTTCAATGAAGGGAGAACTGCTTTCTTTATAAGTCCCTAACTATAGGGGCATTTTTTTTTTCCAACTTTATGCTTTCAATCCCAATGGAAAAAATGGGGGCATGATCACAGTTTGAGAGAGGATCTGATGCTATCTTATGACATGCTTTCTGGGCAGCAAAAAGAAAGAAGTACCAGGGTTTACTTTTAATGGGGGGGGGGGGGGGGGG